CTCACATTCGATGGCGTCTGGCACTTTGGAGAGATGTTCTCTTCATGGATGAATCCCGGATTTCACTGTACAGGGCAGATGGCAGACTGTGTGTATGGCGTCGTGTGGGCAAGCAGTTTGCTGATGTTGTCATTGTGGATCGAGTGGCCCATGGTGGCGGTGGGGTTATGGTATGGGCAGGATTCCTGGAAGCTGAAAACATCCCAGTTCTTGCATGGCCAGCATACTCACCGGACATGTCACCCATTGAGCATGTTTGGGATGATCTGGATCGGCGTATACGACAGCGTGTTCCAGTTCCTGTCAATATCCAGCAACTTCGCACAGCCATTGAAGAGGAGTGGACCAACATTCCACAGGCCACAATCAACAAACCTGATCAACTCTATGCGAAGGAGATGTGTTGCACTGCGTGAGGCAAATGGTGGTCACACCAGATACTGACTGGTTTTCGGACCCCCCAATACAGTAAAACTGCACATTTTAGAGTGGCCTTTTATTGTGGTCAGCCTAAGGCACACCTGTGCAATAATCATGCTGTCTAATCAGCATCTTGATATGCCACACCTGTGAGGTGGATGGAACTTTTATTAACAAAACAAATAAAAATACACCATGCTATAGGGCAGGCTATGCCGAATATAAAATGACAAATAACTTGCATAAAGTTTAATAGGTGTACAAAACTGGAAATAAGTAAACGTGTATAATATATAACCAAATAAATAAGAAATGTAGAACATTTATTAGCAAAACGTGTAAGAAAGCTTGGAGGCACGGCATACACCTTGATATAAAATAAATAAATGACAAAGTAAAAATCAGCAAACAATGTGGAACCAATTAAATAAGAAACTAATGTTTAAAAAAACTTCCAAAATCACCTTAGATAAACGGCAAGAGTCAACAGGCTTTTCAAAATCCAAAATATTGCCAAACAGGTGCTTTTGCATTTCATTTCGAAACTCATCCGCGATCGTCTTGTCTGTCTCACCCCACTCTTCTTGTCAGTCAGCTCGACTCACTCTCCTCACTGGAGAAATAAAATCTGATCTGCAATGCGACTGTCGTTCGGCACGCTGCATTGAGCAGCCGCGTTCAGTTTTTAATTGTAGTGTATGTTCTTTTACTGAACTAAATTATTTTTATTGCTATAAAAAAAATCAAAACGACGGTGGGGGTCGGTGACGCGGTGAGCAAGTGACGTGGCCGGTGTTGCGGCTTAACCGGTTGCACCGTCTATCGTGGCAAACCTAACTATCCCCTTTTATATATGTATATCAATGATTGATCCATCACTATTGTTGAATGAAAAGAAAATGCACCTCTTATCTTATTTGTTTGTTATTTGGAGCTGGAGTGTGAACTGTTATGTTTTTTTTTCTCTTAGAATGTGATCCCAGCTGAGGTCTCTCTTGTCTGTGTGGTGAAACCTGATGAATTCTGGGACAAAAAAGTGACCCATTTCTGCTTCTGGAAGGAGAAGGACAGGCTTGGCTTTGAGGTAAGTATACTAGAGGTGTTTTGTTTTGGTGGACAAAGAGCTACACTTTGACTTATCTGTATTTGACATTAGGGATGGGTACAAGTACTTGGTGATCAAACATGAAAATGTAGCTCCTAAACTTTAATTTTGTGACTGGTTGCAGTTGCATGTTGAGTGGTATCTTGTGGTCCGATTGGTTGGAGGTTGGAACCGCAAATGTATACAGATACTGTTGCAACAGTTTTATTTGTACATTGACCTCACAATACATATTGTCCAAAACAGCTGTACAGGAAATGGTACCTTTAAATAATCTCTTTAAGTCAAACATTAAAGTTGTGAGGAAAATGCCACAAAATAAACAGGATAACACTTCCACTTCCAAGTTTGGACATGCTGATGTTATTGTAAGAATTTTTTCACATTTTAGCAATTTCAGCACTCAATTATTTAATTAAAACTTTTCTTTTCTGTTTTTCCCCAAAATGTATTTTTTAAAACCTGAGCTTTTGTGTTCATCCTAAATGGACTGTTTAGAATGGTTCCACTGTGATTTCCATATACATCAGACCACTGCATCATCACTTTGTATAGCTGTGCATAATACAATCACACAGACTGCGTATTTAATTAGTAACGCCCGAAGGATCTCATGCGTATAAGTAGGTAATTTCCTGCATTCGTTGTGAATAATGAAACTCCAAATACAGAAGCTGCACATCTTCATTTACAATGGTCTGGGGCTTCACTGTGAGACTATGCATTTGTTACTGACTAGGCTTGCCGCGATAGACGGTGCTGATGGTGATACCGTTGTTAAGCCGCAACACCGGTTACGTCACTTGCCCACCGCGGCACCGAACCGCTATAGTAATAAAAATCAGTTAGTTCAGTAAAAGAACAGACACTACAATTAAAAACTGAACGCGGCTGCTCAATGCAGCGTGCCGAACGACAGTCGCATTGCAGATCAGATTTTATTTCTCCAGTGAGGAGAGTGAGTCGAGCTGACTGACAAGAAGAGTGGGGTGAGACAGACAAGATGATCGCGGATGATTTAGTTTCGAAACTAGATGCAAAAGCACCTGTTTGGCAGTATTTTGGATTTTGAAAATCCTGTTGACTTTTGCCGTTTATCTAAGGTGATTTTGGAAGGTTTTTTAAAACATTAGTTTCTTATTTAATTGGTTCCACATTGTTTGCTGATTTTTTTTTACTTTATTTAAACTGTAATTTATTTATTTTATTTGACATCAAGGTGTATGCCGTGCCTCCAAGCTTTCTTATTCGTTTTGCTAATAAACTTTTCTACGTTTCTTATTTATTTGGTTATATATTATACATGTTTACTTATTTCCACTTATTTAAACTTATTTAAACTTTATGTAATTTATTTGTTCTTTTATATTAGGCATAGCCTGCCCTATAGTATGGTGTATTTTTATTTGTTTTGTTAATAAAAGTTCTATGTTTTATATATAGGCTAAAGTGAGTTTGACGTTGTATTTTGTTGTTGCATTCAAGCAATTCACTTTTGAATTAGCGGCAATTCGGCGTCAAAGTAAAATGCGCACGGTGCTTTTAAGTTATTTAAAAGTGAGGAAAAGGGGGAAATGCAAACAAACTAAATACAAACAATTGCTTCAAGCAGAATTGCCGCTATTTGTAAGTGAAAGTAAAATGAGCACGCCGCTTTTGCAAGCTATTTAAAAGCGAAGGAAAGAGAGGAAAAGAGGGAACGCCGTATTATCGGTGTTGTCACACGTCGATTTAACCGGTGGGAAAATTTCCTCACCGTCACAACCCTATTACTGACACTAATACAATGGTTTACTTTCTCATTTATTTGTCAGGACTCAGCGAGGGGAATAAGGTTTGCAGGGCAGTTTTAGCGCTTTAAAGGTCACGCAGCACATCTGGGCATGTCTGAATGAATCATACGGGAAACTGCTGCAAAACTAAATTTTTTAAATTTAATTTAAGTATTTTTTTCCTTTGAGTTCCATTGGTGATGTTAGAAATGTATTTATAATAATTCTATAATAATTCATTTATTACCCCCATTACATTGAAACTAATTCTGACTTGGTTGTTGGTTCAAATTATGTTTACATTCACTTGACCTCTTCTGTCATGCAGTACTCATTTATAGTTATTCTTTAATAACTCCCATAAATTTAATAGAATCTTTAGCAAAGCTACAAAAATAATTTAATTGTTTACCTTGCAGAATCTACAAAATTGTTGTTTTTATAATAACAATAATAATAAAAGTATAATTTATTTAAAAATGTATAACAATTATTTATAAAAATAATTATTTAATTTAAATATTTAATGTTATAAATTGCATTTACTTATATGAATACTTAGTACAATAATTATACATATGCAAATTATATTATTATTATTATTTACAATAAAAATGCATATTTAGGTTTTTCAAAATTGTCTTATTAGTATTGGTATTTTTTTAAGTATGTATTTAGTTAAATGTTTATTGGTGCATCCCTAATGAGTAGAACATTAAATGGATAGTTCACCCAAAAATGAAAATTTGATGCTTTTCTGCTTACCCCCAGGGCATCCAAGAGGCATCCAAGATGGAGGTGACTTTGTTTCTTCAGTAGAACACAAACAAAGATTTTTAGTCGGGGTTTAATTTGGTTTTGTTTGTGTATGCTTTTTTTTTTTTTTTTTTACTATCAAAGCCATGGTTCCTATTCACTTCCATTATAAGACTGACAGACTGCAACGGTTTGAGTTAAAAATCTCCGTATGCGTTCTACCGAAGAAACAAAGTCACCTACATCTTGGATGCACTGGGGGTAAGCA